CATCCCTGATTTCCTATTGGCAGCCACATACCATTTCCTTTTGGTCAAAAGTGGTGCTGCCTAATACAGAGTTGCCCTTATCTGTTATATTTCCGTATTTTTCCAGGTACTGTGTCTTTTTTTAGCTATTTCTGATAGTCTCTGGAAATACAAAATTTTCAGGACAAGAAGCCGTTGGATTGAGATGACAATTATATCATAGAAATTAAGGACTGGAAGGGACCTCGAAAGATCATTAAGTCTAACCCCCCTGCTCTGGGCAGGAATACTACTGAGATCAAATTATCCCAGCAAGGTGTCTTTCCAGTCTCTTCTTGAAGATTTCCAAGGTTGGGGACTGTACCACCTCTTTGGGAAGTCTAGTCCAGATTCTTGTCACCCTTACCGTAAAGCAGTTCTTACTTGCATCTAACCTGAAACCATCCCTTAAGAGTTTATGGCCGTTGGGTGACCTGTTGAGGTGTGATAAATAGAGAAATAAGTTTGACTGGAAAATGGTTGGTTTCTGAATGCTCGTGGGGGAAAAAGTGAAATTTAAAACTTATTTGTATGGTTTTGTTTTCAAGTTTGTATTTGTGTACAGTGTTATTCCTCACCTTAATTGACCTTACTTCTTTACTATTAAAATTAAAATTTTGCCATTGACTCCAGTGACCTCTTAGGATCAAGACTATTGTGTTGATTATCCTCCATAATCAGGTAAAGGTCATACCTACAATACAGCTATTTGAGTCGCACATTTGGAATGCTGTCCTGGCAAATTTCTCTTAGTATGAATGCAATTTATACAAGTAATTTTGCCCTGATTTACCTAGCCATGTTGCTAAAAGTCTGTAGTATAGATATGGCCTTGGAAGTGCTTTGTAATATAACACCAAACAAAATCTTAGACTTGCTGTTATTCTTCATTTAGGCTCTGTTTGATTTGATATCATCATCGATAAGCCTATTATTATGCCTTGTACTCTTAAATACTGAACAACAAAAACATCAGAGTGCTGCAGAATTGGCCAAAGCCCAAATTCAGTTATGGTTTCTCTCTCCCCATGGTTAGAGAAGTCTGTGGCTTGAGTGCACAGAATACACGTATGCCTTTGAGGAAATGGATAGGTGCACAGTAGGGATGTGCAAAGCTTCAGTCCCTGATTTGATTTGGTGGAGATTTGGCCCGATTCGGTGGCCAAATCTCCAAATCCAAATTGAATCAGAGGACCCTTTAATCTCTCCAAATTGAATCGGAACCCTCCAGATCGATTCAGAGACATTCAGGAAGATTTGGAGACTTAGACATAGACGCAGCTTTAAAAGATTTTTCTGCGTACCTTGAGGTATCAGCACAGCTCAATTGCTGCGATGCTGGGGCTCATGGAGCGTCCCACAGGAGCATGGGGGTGGGGCCCTCATGTGGTCAGCAGTGAACCTGGAAGTGGACTGGAAGTACTTTTGGTCCACTTATGGGTCTGCCGGGGAGTGCTCTGGGGCGCACCCTTAGTGCACGGTCACTTCAAGGAAAATCAATTACTATCTTTTAAGACAAAAACCATACCTGGATAGAACAACAATGGCTCCAGTAAAGGACCAGGAAGGGCTACAGCCCAAACCAGTTCTCCTATCTTTTGATACCCTGTCTGAGGATCTTTATTCTAACTCCTTTGAACATCTTATGTAATCTTTTTATTTTTCACAGAAAGTGGAAGTACCCTCTCTCTCACAACTATACAGTTGGCTCAATAAAAGGTAGAACCCACAAAAATCCTTGCTGCTTCATTGCTTGGACATTCATATAACACTTTCAAATTCTATCTATCAGTATAGAATGAAGCTTCATCACAAGTTTTCATCTCTTTAGCAGAAAGATAAAGAGCTGAGGCAATACTGACTCTGACTTTTCAAAAGCACACAGAAAAAATGCTAGGTTTTACCTCACAGAACTCAAACTTCCAGGATATTTGTATGTTTCACTAAAACAGCTGTCCTAAATAATGGCTCCAATATGGACACCTGCAAATCTACCACATGGTCCTAACTATACATCTTTTATCAATGTTTTGCTTTACTCCATTCACTCATTTGGATTCTGATTTTGGCCAGGCAGTTCTCTATTCCATTTTGATAGGCTCTAAAACTTCATCATCATAATGGACAGTTACTATGAAATCATCAAAACTGGAAGAGCACACACCAACTGCAGATGCTTCCTCAGCCTGACAAAGGATATTTATACCCAAAAGCTTGCTAAGAAGAATTTTTCCAACTATTTGGTTTGGTCTAATAAAAGATATCATATTTGCCAAAAGAACCTTGTCTGCCTGTATAAGCACATAATCACTTGAAAGAAGAAACAGCTAATTGTCTTCATAGTAGCCATTTTTCTTTGGCATGTGCTGTGCTAATATCCGTTCTATGCCATTCCTCTGACACTATCTTTGGACTTCTAATGATCAATTTCTTGACTGTAGACAGCCAAGCCTTTTTATGCCTTCATCTGCAAGTAGGTCTGTCCAAACGGTACTCCTATCCAAAATTTCCATCTTGAACACAGTAGGTACATATGCCTAAGTGGAATGGATATAAGCACAACAACTCTTGGAAAAATAAGTTTATATCCAAACATGCAAATGTATTCGGTCATGTTAATATATTTGCCTGCTCTTCTCGCACCCTTCCCACCCCAAGCCCTTGACCAAGTATACTTTTTATCTGCCTTTCAGTTCAGTATCACATTAGGTTATAGACATCAAACATCTGGCCCATATATCTAATATATTTACCCAAATCCAAGACTACTTCAAATTTAAGGTGACCCTGCAATAATTAGGTTCTTTACATGGAAAGCAGTGGTGGAGAGGTAGGAGGTGGTAGAGTCAAGAGGTAGGGAAATCAAGTGAACTGACCTCCCACGCCTTGCCACCTGTCCCCCCTCCCCACACTTCTGCCTCTACGCCCCCCCCCAGCACCTGCTCCCCTGGGGGCCTGACCTCCCTGCCTCCAAGTGCCTGTGCTCTGCCCCCGCTTTTGCCACCAGTTAACTTCAGTTGTGACTGTAGCTGTGGCCCACTCTAGTGCAGAGCACAGAGCATGTGGTGGATCAGAGCTGGACCTGCTGCTCCTGCCAGGGGCTGAAGTCACTGTGTGCTCTGGGTCACAGTGGGGCCAGAATTGGAACTGCAACTGAAAGTAAGCAGTGCTGGAGGTGGGAGCAGCAGCTCTGGTTCTGACCCTGAGCCTGGTTTGCAGCTGCAACCACTTGTCTTACCCCACTCTGTATTCAAATCCAAGATTTCCCCTTGCTGTGTTGAATGGGGAAAAAACCCTTATTTTGGATTTGAATAAATATGGTATGTCATCTGGCCCATGGGGCTCCAGGAGGGGCTGGGAATTTGGGGACAGGACAGTCAGGGCTGGGGACCCACCAAAATCCAAAGTGTAGAGCCCCATTAGGGACAGCTGGATGAGAATGGCTGTGTTCACCCCAACATCTACAACCACTGCTTCCCCCCACCCCCATATCTGGATTTGGCCTGCAAGGAGCCCCACTCCAGATCTGGCTGGGGGGGAGCGGGTTGTGTGAGTTTACCACCCCTGCATTACCTCATTGGTAATCTTCTAATGCTCACTTCTGAAGGAGACTTTAGTTGTTTGATTTCATTCATTTTTTTCTATTGACTGCTAAATATTAAACATTGGTAATTCATATTTCATATATCTTGAGGTGATGTCTATTCTAAGGAGACCACTCTTAAGTATCAGCTTAAATAGCTATATTAATTGCTTTTTCTTTAGAAACTTTATTCTTCCTAATTGGCCATGTGCTGATTGGACTTGTTGAGTGAACAAGTAGAGTTTGTCCACTACTTTTTTACCTAATGCAAAACAACCTTTTTACACAGTGCATAGTTAACTTGTGGGATTCATTGCCACAGGAAGCAGATGGCATAGCCAGGTTCAAAAAGAGACTAGACCAATTCATAGATGATAGATCTATTAATGGTTATTCAGCAGAACGGTTGAAGATGTTTCTTCTGACATCTCTAAACTAGTAATGGTAGATGCCAGGGAAGGTACTGAATGGGGATATATCACTCTAGATCTGTCCAGTTCAGTGATTTTTATGGAATGCTCCCCTGCCACTGTCAGAGACAGGATCATGGGCTAGATGGACTGTTGGTCTGACCTAGTATGTCATTTCTGTTTGCTAAACTCTTTGCAGGGGTAAAGTGTGAGACAGTTTTGTTGACCTTCTTTTCCATAAGAGTATCTTATATTTTATTTCTTAGTATATATCTGCGGATAGGATTAGGAGGTAATGTTAGACGTGTTTAAAATAGTCTGTCCATATAACTTGATCCGCATAAAATGGTTCATTACTTGTTAAGACTTTATGCAGAGTGTTTCATTTATTAGCAAATTTCTTGATGCTGTATAATTTTTTGACATTCTTGTCCTATTCTTGCAAACTTTATAGATGAGGTCTTAAATCCATGCGTTCATTCATCCTCTCACTTGTATACCCCTAATCACTTTAGAAGCTGGCAGATAAAAAGACAGAAATATTCTCGAATAGTTTATGTACATTGTCAATGCCACATTTCAACATAAAGGAAAAGATTTTAGTATTGTATTAAATATATTGCATACAGTATATGCAATAAATAGTGGTTAAAAAGATTCAACACAATTTTAATATTGTTAGACTTTAAATACTATGCAGTTAAATCTGAACTTTTACATACTACAACATGTTCGTTTCCATATGCATGTAATCGAATGACTTAATAATGAATGTATGTCTATTTAAACTATAATTAACCATATGGTTATGTAATGTTAAAAACCCATTTGGTTTCTTCAGATCCTGAAAATGGAAAGAACATTAAACGGCAATTAACAGTTCTGTGGAAGCATGGAAGGGGCCAAATGAAATATTCTGCCATAGCTTAAAAAGATTGTAAATGTATTAAAAATATGAAAACATTTACTTAAATGTTTTATTTTTGTAGGAGGAATAAACATGGGGTCACACGTGAGAAGATTGCTCAGATGTTGGATCGATATGAATATCAAATATCCATACCTATTGTAATGAATTCAGTGACACCACCTCACAAAAGTACACAAAGGCCACCTCCACAGCGAAGACAGAGGTGGGGAGGCTGTATAGACTCTTGGAATTCTTTCAGTGGTTCAGATAACCGATAACTCAGGTTCCAGTCAACTAACACCAACTTGTTTTCATCATTTAAAAAAAAAAAATTAAGTAGTGGACCTTCTCCTGTGTTTTAAATAGGCATAATTCAGTTAAAAAGCCTTTCCCTCTTGGAGGTTGTTCTATTATCAGGCTAAAATGTAAATAAAATTTAATATTAAAATGTATTTTAAGTACTTTTAAAATTTATATTTGTTACAGTTGTACTAACTTTGGTTTAGTAAAACACCTGGAATAACATGAAGTAAACCAGAGTCTTCCTTTATAGGTGTCAGTCAATGACATTGTTGTCTACTGAGAACTGTTGAGCAGTTTCTTTTAAAGAAGTCGTTACAGAACTTTGTTGTCATTGCTTGTTTTTTTTCTTTCTTTTTTTTAAGAACTCAAAGTCCAAAGGAATAAGCTACTTATGTAGTATTACATTGTAATGACTTCCATTGCTCTTTAATATTCTACCCTGGCCAAGATTTATACTGAACAGCTATGTTTTTCTATTTCTTGCTAGATGCTTCTTTTTTTGTTTAATCGGTGCCCAGTGATGACACATGTATAACCCACATTTCCTTCTATCTCGTCGGTACATTTGACAGCTTAAACTGATGTGCTGCAATTGCAGTATTCACTAGTGTGAAACTACAAACCATGATTTGTCTTGGAGTTATTCACTGTCCATAGTAATGTACTGAATACAATTGTGTCTAAGGACTGGATATTTTACTAGTTTGGGAGATCATTAATCATCATGAAAATTGCAGCTTCATTCCATTTAAGTTTACAGGTCTAAAGTGCAGCATCAAAGCTGAGTGTTTGAGTCAGCTTTTCTATTTTATCATAAAAAGAATACCTTAAATATTAATATGTTAGATCCCAGATTATCTGACATATTAATATGTCAGATATGTCAGTTAGACTGTATATAGCTGTATCATTTAGATGCAAGTAGACTGTGATCTAATTTTATAAAACCACACTAAGTTCTTTTCAGGATTTGGCACAGGTACTATAGTTTTTGTTTGGCAAATGCCAAAGACTGAGCCAGCGTGGAGATTGATGGATTAATCTATTACCGGATGCATTTTTACTTTAGACACTTATGTGAAAATAAGAGTTCGCTTTGATGCTTGTCTTCATACCCAGTTGCTGGATTTCTTCCATATTGACATAGTTTTGGAAGTCCAATGCAAGACTGACAAAACTAATATTTGTATGTTAGTATTGTGGAGATGTATATCTCCACATTTTTATAGCTATATAGAGATCTATAGAGATATAGATATATATCTATATATCCACTACTAAAAGAACAGTTTTGAACCGTTTAAACTTTAGTTTCATTCTTGTCTATGTTCAGTTTTGCTTTGATTTTCATATTGTAGCACAACTTTGAAAGAGGTAGGTGGCAACACCAGAATGAGAATGTTTAAAAACCAAGCAAAAAGATTTGATTTGATTTAAATTGGGGGGAGGAGGGGAGGGGAAATCCTATATGTTTTTGGTAAAAAAAAAAAAAAAACGAAAAAACCCAAAAAACAACCCCCCCCCCCCCCCCATTTTGGTTTAAAAGATTGCAGTGTAGTGTAGAGAGATGCCTGAGCTGGCTTGGGTATCAGAAGGAGTCTGCACCTAGTGACCCAAAGCTCAATTCTGGTTAATTTATTCTGCTTAGTAACAGAGTAAATAAAAAATAAATTTGGAGCTCTGTACTGCTTCAGTAAGTAGTTTTTAATACTTGAGTAAACTCATCTAAAGCTAGTTTCATTTCTACACTACACTAAGTCTGTGATATATATGTTTACCATTGTTTCTTCCACAGCACATAATGCAGTTATCTTAATTACCATTTATGAACTGACTGGATGCTCAGTGCAAATTTTTATGACTTCATATAGTTGACATTTTAGTATTCTAAGAACTGCAGTATATCATCAGGCTCAATTATAATATTTTTGAAGGTGAGCATTAGCAATAGGGTCAAGTAGACTAAACTATGAAATCATTAATTTGTTGTGGACTTCTTTACTTTTTCAAAAGTAAGGTAGTAATGGTTTATAAGTTCAAGGAAAAGTGTAGATGTTATTTTAAAGATGGCTGTATATAAAACTATATATTATAGGGCCCTACGGAATTCACAGTGGAAGTGGGTTTCTGATTGGCTGAGGGATCCTTGTGGCCCTGCTGCTTGCTGCTGACCAGTCAAGAGGCAAAAACAGTGCCATATTTAAAACCATGAGTTTTGCCTCCCTGCCAATCAGGAGCAAACAGTGGGGCCCCTCCACCGATTGGTGGGGGTGGGGAACCTTACAGGAGAACCTGCTAGATTAAAGGACCTGATGTGCAGCCCACTTCCACCATAAATTCAGTAGGGCCCTAATTATAGTGTTAGAGGGTTCTAAGATGCATTGATTATAACAAAATATTAATTTAAGGGTATTGGTTTTAGAAGAATCATCAGCATTTACAGTGATTTGGAAAGATTTAATTTTTAAAATAACACTTGTTAATGTTTTCCTAATTAAGAAAAAGTTTAAATGTAATAGTTTCTTATTATACTGAGGTTCTTCAGAGGTGTTACTTTGGTAGGTAGTAAATAGAAATACACAGCTAAAAACTTTCAAATGCATTTTTTGGTCTCATAGGGTTTAGAATTTTGTGTTTTGTGGTATTATAATGCAGGTTTGAGTGCAGTTTAAACAGTAATATAATTTATAATGTAAAAAAAATTAAAGTTGGAAATCAATATATTTAATGCAGTCTTTTTATGTGGTTTTGTATTTCTGTTGTGCAATTCTATATTTGTACAATGTAGTATATTTCTAAAATAGTGTTTTGCTAAGAAGTTTTATTAAATCTAAAAACTGAATTGTGCTATTTCAATTTGTTTTTAGTAACTTTTCATCATTAGCAAATTGATTGCAATTAAGATGTTTTCATACTTGCATGGATTGTTTAAAATACTTGAAATACCGTGTATTTCATAAGCTGATGCTCAAATGATATTTAATATATTTCCTAATTGTATCTTATATATAAGCATATGTATTACTGTTTTTCAGTTTGTATGTCTGGTTATCAACTTCAGCATCCTGTAAAGAACCTGGAGAAAACTCAAATATTTTCTCTGTCCTAAACCTTTGTGTACTTAAAAATACATTACAACCATGAGGAAGATAAAAAGGTTTAGAAAGACTTTTTCATTTACCAATGCGATTCTGTCTCAACTACTCTAAGCTTTAATAACGTTAAATAATTACTTGGTTTTGTACCTAGTTTATATAAACTTCAATAACATAAAAAATAGCCAACAGGACTGATGCCTTTATAAGGATTTTGCAAGAAGTGGGGAAGTTTTTTAACCTTCTTAAGTTGTGGTTGATGCTATTTTTTAGTGTTTACTTGGAATTTGTTTTTAAATAGCCATTTTTAATTTGTTATAAATATATACAGGTAACGTGTGTGTGTGTGTGTGTGTGAGAGAAAATATTCGTTGAGGTGGCTCTCTTTTTTTTTTTAATACAAAAAGCACATAGTTCAAATTAGACTATGACATATAAAGAATTCATTTCCTAAGAAGGGCAAAGCATTATACATCTTGGCATGATGTATAAACTATTTCATCTAGCAACTTATGTTCTGTGGTAAGTACAGTGGTATGGTAAGTGTGGAAGTTGCTTGTGATTTGTGTAATGTGTAGCCTTTGTTCTGTTCTTTTCCTTTTGCAATTTTCTGTTCTTGTGCTGTT